ACTGTTCCGGAGTTGGATCTACGACTGCGTGCGCTGGAGGCAAAGCAAAGGTGTAATGCTGCAAAATGGCAATCCTTCTTGTAAAATTATCACTTATTAAATTTAAATAATTCGGAAGTAGGTAACTTCACTCATGGGAATAGGTACTGAACAATAGAACATTTGTAAAAGGAATAGGCTTTATACCTGTAAAACTAATGCTTTCAAACATTTCAGCGATAGATAATGAAGAAGCGCTTGAGAGTAGGCAAGAACCAGCGTCGAGAAAACAATTCGAACAGAAAAGACGGCCGGAAATATGGTCCATCCATACATTGGCAGTCCTGAAAATGTGCAAAAATTCCCGACGGGATTCTCCAATTCACGATTTTCCGCCTTTTTCAAACAACCACTTACAAAATCAAGAAAAATCATGCAAATACAAAAATGAAAAGTAGGAAAAATTCAAAAAATTTCAGTCAAATATTCCAAACAAACCTATCAGGAATGTAAAAACGACAGTCCATTTCCCAACCACCAGAAGACTCTTCGACGCGGCTTCGTTGCCTAAACGTAGCGCTGATTGCAGCTGATGGACGGCACCAAACTGAAAAATAAAACTATCAACTAAAATATCCTGAATTTCTACACTGAATTCCTTTTCTTTTCATCAGAAATTTCACATTGACTTCACTCACATTCGTTCAAAATTCACAGCGTAATACAAAATGTGATCAAATGTCCCTAGGAAAAAATTATTAATCACAAGTTTCTAACCTCGAAGGCAGGAATCTGAAGGCGATAATCACATTCGAAAACGTTCATGAAGGTAGCCACTAACACCGGTACGTGTACAATAAATGATGGAGCACTGAAATTTTCTTGATTAAATCTTATTTCACCTCCAGCAAGGGCACTTCAGTTCACAGTGCGCACTGAACCTTCCCTAGTGAATCAATCGCTCGCAAACCCCGCAAACTCCAGGCAATTTTCACTTCTATGCACATTACCTCTTTCAATATTTAAATTATATGAAATATGAAGAACATTACCAAAACATACGAATTTCTCTTTCAAGTGGAGAAAACAAAAATTTCCAAAGCACATAAAAACTTACTCCACAATAATTCCTTTCACGAACGTCACGCCAGAACCCGTTAAGAGTAGATGTCCTTTCAAATTATCCAGAACAATGAAACCAGCCAATACACACCACACATGCCAATCTTTTTTCGACAATCTGAACATGTCCCTCCTTTACAATTCCTCTTTCGCTCATATGAACAGCAAATAAAATCGAATCTCAATAATCCTCCTGTCACAAAATCATTCTTGCTCCAAAACAATACCACAAAAAAATCATACAAACTTTTTCTCACTGTCGAATCGCAAAAGAAAACGACCAATAATATACGTCGACATTGTATTCATCAGCACATAACCAACTAAGAACAGAATCGTACGTGACGACGACAATAATGATAAGATATCTGCAAGAAATTGATTCATCTCCCTCATTTTCGACTACTCGATTATACTTTCAATTGAATCCACAAATGAAACTTCAGAAAAAGCTTTTTGCCACTCAAAAAGAAACTCTTAAAAATTATACTGAATTCATGCAAAGACTAACCATAAATGGTGCCAATCGGGTGAACCAAAGAAATTTGCAACACACACGCAAACAGCAAATAGAGTGCTGACGAAAATGCTGCATGACAGAGCAATGCTTTTAGACGTCGCATCTCAATCTGAATACAAATAAGAAAACGATTATCTTTTTGCAAAGAAATCCTCAATTTCAAAAACAACTCAAACCATACAGAAATACGGATATCACTGACCATTTGTTCGAACCATTCGTTCAGGGAATTTGACAATTTTGTAGTGCCTTGAATTGGATTCACATTTGGACCAACATGAGACGTCTGAGGATTCATTTGGTCAGGTGGTGAGCCGATAGAGCTAGCCGCAGCCATTTGCGACGGAGACTGCTGATATTGGTGGTACGGTGATGCATGTTCCACAAAACTCATTTTCAAGACCTCGGAAATATCATATACCGATTGACACCTTTAATTTCAGAAAACATCAACTTCTTCCAAATTTTCTTCCACGAAAAAAAAAGAGATCCACCCGATTTCGAAAGAAATCACATATATTCACTCGCTAGCAAACATAAATGCATAAATGCCTTCAATGCCACCTTTGTTTTTAAACATTCATCTCGTCACATTTCGTAACAGCACCATTTGAAGTTCCAACTAAGAAATTTATCATAATTCATTTCATTCGGCTCAACTTCTTGAGAAGTCGAAATTTTTGAGCAATCTTTATCACCGTTTCAGTTTTTTCCACGAAACAAAATTCGTCTAAAACCATCACAATGCGACACAAATCAACAACGCATCGCTTGCGATCACCATCATTAAATCATCAAGAAATGGTACGATACTCAAGTGTTGGTAGGCAGACCAATCTGGTTTCAATTGTGCAATGAAATGTAATTTTACTCAACACAAATTTCATAATGAATATCATTAGTTTATTTCATAGTGAATTCCAATCATCGGATATTGTAGATTGCAGAATGACAAAAATAAGACAATACAAAAAATAAAAACGAAACGAATATATTCAGTGAGCGATTTCACTGGAAAACAAACCAATGCAATGGATAAGTCAATGGGAAAAGGTCAGTTGATGGTTTTCAAATGACTCCGATAACAACGTTTGATGATTCTTTAAAGACAACAATGGTAGACCAAAACAAAGAGTACAAATCAACGACAATTAAAACAATAAATATTAAGTGCTCGAGCGAGGTCAACAATAACGACTGAACAATAGCTGTGAATATGATCGGAATTTGGGATAATTTCATGACATTTCCGCCGAATTTTCTGCGAAACGAAATTTTTGGAGTCAATTGGATAGATAATCACGCAGAGCGACACATTCACAAATGGATTATCCTCGGAACGGTGGACGCGGAACACCGCCTGGTCCTCCGCGAGGTGCACCCCGCAAACCTGGTCCTCCACGGCCGCGGAACGATGTACCTCGTCCTGAAATTAATTTAAATCACCTCCAACACCTAAAAAATTTCCTCTTAACTTATTGTCTTTATTGAATGTGTTCGCTCGCTTGAAATCACAAACGTTAGAAGTGAAAGTACCATCGAAACTATTCAAAAAGTTATCATTAACAAATCAATGAATCGTTCAATCTCAACGATCCATACCTCGGAATGTCCGTCCGTCCCTGTTGTCACCC